AGGACTCATCTGTGGCTTCCCATGGTACAGCACTTCTTGCCCCCGCCCATAATGCAAAGTCTATTTATGGGCCCTCATTACCATAGGCCCCTCCCACAATGGTTAAAGGAGAACTATGGGGGGGGAGGGGCTTTTCACTCACCTCATAGTTCTAGCCGACCTGTGACAATGAGACTGTCACAGGAGAAGGAAGTTCTGTAAGTACACTTGTCCTTCCAGGTTCTATAGAAGGCCCATTAGAATTGGGCTCCAAGAGTGTGGCCTACAGCATGCCAAAGCCTTTGTGTAAAGCTGCTGCCGCCACTAGAGGTTGCTCTTCGGAGGCAGGAGATTGTCCAATCACCGAGCCCGAGGTGCGCCCTCCAGTGGTGGCGGAGAGTATTTAGAGACTGGCACACCGCTGTCAGCCATTAGGAGTCCAGCCTTGGCCTTTCTATAGGACGGGGAAGCCAAACTGAAATGAAACGAGGACAAACTAATGAAATGATTCTTTCGGGGGGCCACATTATTTCTAAAGGGCCACACCTACTTTAGCTCCATGATAAAAAAAAAAGGTTTAGGCACTTAATCACTTAAAGACAAAACAATGTTCATGTTGGATGGTGGAGAGGAACACCCTGAACTTCCAGGTCGTCTAGAGAACTCAGGCTGGAGGACCTCACTGTTGGACTATAGAAGACAATACTAAGATATCCATTTATAGATCAGTCTATGGCTATACGCCGGCAGCAGAGCCAATCTATGGCTACAATATCCCGTTTATGGCTATCAGTACACAAAAGTACACTACCCTGGACAAAGACAGAGGGATTATGGGTAGAAGACGGAGAGACTGCGGGGTGTTGTATGGTAAAGGAGGTGACGTCTAGATGGAGATTCACTAAGAAAGCACCACCTGGAATACCAACATAAAGCACAATACAATATTACAGAGCGGGCTCAGTGCAGAGTATAAGCGGCGGCCATTTTGTCTTTGCTGCACTAAGTACACTTGGGAAGCAATAGCATTATGTGGGCCATTGTTGTACCAATGACTGAGAACCCCACCAATGCCTCCATAGGACCCCCCTCTGCTCATATACAAGCCCTCAATGCCTCCATAGGACCCCCCTCTACTTATATACAAGCCCTCAATGCCTTCATTGGCCCCTCTGCTTATATAAGAGCCACCGAAGACCTTATAGGCCCCACCTCTGCTCATATTAAAGCTCCCAATGCCTCCATAGGCCCCACCTCTACTTATATACAAGCCCCCAATGCCTCCATAGGCCCCACCTCTGCTCATATAAAAATCACTCATCCCTTCATAGGCCACACCTCTGCTTATGTAAGATCCACCCATGTCTTCATAGGCCCCACCTCTGCTTTTATAGTCTCCACCTCTGCTGACTCCCTCAATCCTCTCAGGTCAGACCTCCTCAGCCATGGAATGCTCCGGATTCCAATTAGTGCTGTGCGGCATGTGGGGGAATCACATAAAGAAAATGTCTGTTTTCACAGAGAGGACTCTCTCCAGACCGTGTGGCAGCTTAGATGCCAGTAGGTCCCATGGGGCAGACCTTCAACCCTGAGCTCCGGCTAATCATGTGGCAGTACAAAGCCGCCAAAACTAACTTTTGATGATGAACAATGCTTCTTTATTGTTATCTGCAGCCTTGAAGTCATCATTCTCCAGCATGAGATGTGAAGCTACGTCACTTACAACCAGTTATACAGATATGTTGTTGGTGTGTGAGAAATAACATGGAGGTCAGTGTGATGTTCCTGGTCCAGGCACCCCACATGTATGGACTCTGCTCCAAGACCAAGCACCACACATGTATGGACTCTGCTCCAAGTATAGACTCTTGTCCAAGGCCAGGCATCCCACATGTATTGACTCTGCTCCAAGACCAGACATCCCACATGAATGGACTCTGCTCCAAGTCCAGGCACCACACATGTATGGACTCTGCTCCAAGTCCAGGCACCCCACATGTATGGACTCTGCTCCAAGACCAGGCATCCCACATGTATGGACTCTGCTCCAAGACCAGCCACCCCACATGTATGGACTCTGCTCCAAGTCCAGGCACCACACATGTATGGACTCTGCTCCAAGTCCAGGCACCCCACATGTATGGACTCTGCTCCAAGACCAGGCACCACACATGTATGGACTCTGCTCCAAGTCCAGGCACCACACATGTATGGACTCTGCTTCACCCCGAGCAGTCGCCAGCACGGAGTCCTGCAGTATGTAAGTGCCTCTGTGTCGGGTACATAGGCTGTAGCGCCTGTACAGACAACATCTGAATCAAGTCCTAGTAGGACCATGACGAGGAGAGACGGCCCCACAACAGTTCATAGGACACCATAGTCCCAGCGGGGTTCCCTTTTTATAACGGACGGGGCTCCCTAAATAATGCCTCCGCACTGTACAATGGTTTTCGCTCTTGGTCAGGTGAGGAAGACTTTATCCAGTGACGCAAATTCGTAATGGCGGTCAAACCCTCCAGTTCCCGCGTGTCCCCTTTAAGGCCGGAAGGCGTCACATTGTTTTCAATCCCAGAATTCCGTGGAGCTGGTGCGCCGCCCCGCCCATAGGTCCTCTCCGAGGGGACTCTAAACCCCCCAACTCCAAACCCACACACCCCCGTCATAGGTCCTCCCCCAGGGGACTCCAAACCCACCCAAACACAAGATGGCGGCGCGACTCAATTTTGGTCTAACATCGAGCTAAGAAACAAAAACATTTAAATACACCGAGAAAAAAAAAATTCACTTCCGATCAACAAAAAATCTCTGCGCTGAACTAAGCCCGGAAACGGAAATGTATGGAAGGACAGCCACGGAAGGGTCCGGGGACCGGTGCTGTTGTCCAGCAACAAAGAACGGACGTTGGCAGGAATATCCTGCGTAAGGCTTTAATCCTCACAAGGGGCCCCCCGGAGGCTGCCGGAGCCCCATAAGGTGCGATGTCATTATATATAAAAAAAAAAACCTAAAAAGGCGCGCGGCGGAAGGGCCACGGTCGCGGTGATAAGGCCACACGGAGAAGGATCTAGAACTGGGGAACGGGTCACTTCCTGAGCTGCAGATTCTCCAGAATCATCTTCTTATGGTTCTGGTCCAGGACTCCGGCCTCTTCCAGGTCCTCCTCCACTATATCACTGGAGACAAAAAAGATTTGGACACGTCACCATAAATGATAAAGCTGCTTATATTTTCCCAGTAAAAAAAAAACTTTCCATTTTGATAATCGCGGCTTCCGGCACATTGTATCTAGAAACAAGGAACATTGACCTGCCCCCCCTCCCCCGTTTTGCTGTTCCATGGGGGTGATGATGGGGCAGCCGTGTCATTGGATTCCTTTTACCTGAGGAATTCTAAGTCGTCCCAGCCGTTGTGTATGAGCCCTTCTTCATATCGCTCCATGCCGATCCCTCTCAGCCATTCGCCAACGCTGGAGCCCGACAAGCTGGAGGAATTCCGCCCACCGTGATACAGAGCCTGGGGGGGGGGCAGAGGGTCAGAGATAACAATCTCACCGCCATTGTACAGACAACACACTTTGGGCAGACTCATCCTTCCACCCATGCACACGAAGCGGGTTATACTCCTTTAAATGTCCTTCTTTACACCCCGCCTTCCTATATCTGTTGATATATAATCCGTTAGGTGATACCCGGCATCATTCTACTCTGCACTACACAACACGTAACCCGCTCTTCTCCAATGGTAGAACCCAAGGAGCTCCTGAAATGGCTAAACGCTCCCAGGAAACACTTTGACCTCCTTTGCTTGTAATGGGGGTCCATGAAAGGAGGGTCTATAATCACGAAGAGCAATCAGAACTTCCATATATCCGAAAACCAACTCCATTTAACACAGTGCCCATCACCTGGGATTTGAGGGGTGAAGACTGGCGTGGAGGAACCCTGACCAGAACCCCCCTGAAGACCTCTGAGATGAGCTAGTAGGAGTCGGTCACATTCAGCTGGGCTTGTCTTGTGATGTTCAAGACGTTCTTCTGTTCTAATGGGTGTCAGGAACATCCCCCAGCACCTAGATCCACACAGGTTGACATGGAGCATGTCAAGGCAGATGCTGATTGTCCATGAGCTGGATGGGAGGTGTGAAAGTTGAGGAACCCCCTGTTCTAATATTCGTGTGCATCGCCCCTTGTCTGCTGGCAGGAAGGTGACAGTTGGATCCCTACTAAGAGCGGCAAGAACCTTCCTATCTAGGGTTCAAGTCGGAAGGAGGTGCTTCGGCACTGCACAGGACAGCTGAGAACCTCAGATAGAGTTGTTCAGGCTCTTCTACAGATATGAGGTTGTTCTGGATGGAAGATTCTGTTGCTGCAATGGTACGCACCCCAAGAACATTCTGGGGTGCACAGCAAAGTTCAGTTCCATTGCCAAGACTTCCTCCTGGCCGAGTAAACTCTCTTCCTGGAAGGTTCTTCCCCCCGCTTGCCCTTATTCCATTGGGGTCTTCCATCTCCATCCTTTCTCCTACAGGGTAAGTCCTCTGCTCCGTAGTAGGAAGTTAGTGAACCCGTTAGTCTGTCCTTCCTTGCCCTTAGTGTGTTGTCCTGGCTGAGTTCGTTCTGTGAGCACCTGTGTGGATATAAACCCCGGGGGATGTTCCTGACACTCATTACAACTAGGGCTGCAACAACTAATCGACATAATCGATCATTGAAAAAGTTGTTAACTTTTTAAATGGATTAATCGGCTTCCGATCAGTTGGCCCTGTTCACGGCTCCACACACGCTGCGCGCCGCACCTCCTCCCCACCTCACGCTCACCGCTGCCAGACCACTGACGCCCATGACAGGTGGAGATCAATCATAAGTTTCATATTTTGATGCAAAGATACCAAATTTAGCAGCGCGGCCACCCCCCGGATTTTGATAGAACAAATGAATAGTTGAGGGGTGAAGATTGGTGTGAGGGAACTCCACAGAACCCGAAACCCAGAAGTTCCTGAACACCTTCGGGATGAGCTCGTGGTCGCTGGTAATAGTTCAGTAACGTTGAAGATGTTTTGAAGCTCCTCCGAGCCACTTCAGTTCTAATGAGAGTCAGGAACATCCCCCAACGTTTATATCCAACACAGGTCACCATAAGATGATTGTCCATGAACAGGAAGTGAGGTGTGAAAGGTGTGGAGTCCCCCTGGTCCATTATCATCCTTTATCCTCCAAGGTAACTCCTCATTTCTGCTGTTAGTGCTGGACCGCAGTAGCAAGTTGACCTTGTTGGTCTTTCCTTGCCCTTAGTATGTTGACCTAGCTGAGCTAGTTCTGTGGGCTTGGGTAGGTATCAATGCTGGGGTATGTTCCTGGTATGGTGGGGGTATCAATGTCGGGGGATGTCCCTGGTATGGTGGGGGTAAATGCTGGGGTATGTCCCTGACACTCAGAACTGAAGATGTGCTTTGGATAAGCTTTGAATGTGACTTCCTCCTCCTGGCCATACAATGACCTCCATCAGTGAGAAGCTTCTCAGACGTGGATTGTGAGTCCGCTCATCCAATATCAGTACCGGGCCTCAGAAATGGGCCCAAATTCCCACAGACACAACCCAAAATCTAGTGGAAAGCCCTCCCAAAATGTATTATTTTCTTATCTTAAAGGAGAACTATGGGGTCAGGGCTTTCCCCATACTTCTCCTCAGGGTAACAGGAGGACACAAACTAGCGTCCTCCCGTCACCCAAGGCTCAGTATATAGGGAGCTGTATCTCTCTATATACTAAGACGCCGCAGTGTAGCTCGCGGTATACTGAGACGCCGCAGCTGAAGCGGATCCCGACAATTATGCCGGGATCCGCCCAGCTGCGTGACTGACAGCTGGCTCTGCCTATCTAGAGGCAGAGCCAGCTGTACCCGCCCCCGTCCGTTCCGCCAGTCAGCGCTGGCGGATCGGAGCGGGGAGCGGGGAATCCAGCCCCTCCC